ATCTCTTGTTTTAATGAAACAACAACTGTCTAGTGCTTCCTAGTTTTAAATGATTTTCAATGATCAATTCGTAATATAAACTAATAAAACTCAAAAGTCTATATTAACTTCTTAGTATTTGAATGAATATTTTGTAAATCAATAATACTGTTAAGTGTCTGATAAGTACTCAGTACTTGCACAATGACTTTACCTTTCAATAAGTAAACAGTTAAAATTCGGAATAAGGTTTGTAGGTCACCAACGTAGATAAGTGCAAGACTACTCGAGTTAGACGGGGGTAGTGTGACGAACCAGCTAACTACGAAGTCACACCTCAGGGTCAGCATTTTACCTGGATTACTCTTTCGATGTATCAAGATACTATAGCTTCTTTGAAGATCGTATAACACAAAGGATGTTATTAAGGAAATATATTACTAATAATGGGTACAGAGAAGATAGCGATACCACCACGGCATGCGCCAGTCCATGACATACGATCAACTGATGTGCGTTGGTTGTCTTCGACCTTGACAGGGATCAACAATCTGTTGGATATTCAGTGATCCAACTGCTGGATGATTTGGCTAGGGTTCAGTAACACTTCACTAACCCTTCAGGTTCTAGGAAAAAAGTATTCTTTCAACCAAATCGGTTAAGATCCGAAGATGTAGACGATAACGAATGAATAAACTGAAGTCAGTGTTATAACATCGGAAATCAATAACTATAAATATCAATTTTCATGTAGATCTCAATAAAAATAAAAATCAATTAAATAGTCATGAAATTCAAGAACTAAAGTACTTTTATTCTTGTGATGATCAAATTTTCGTAAATAAGTGAAGATAACATGTGATCAGAAGGAATACAATACAAGTTCTTCACTTATAAGAATTTAGTACTTAGAGAAATTTGGAAAATTAATACTTTAAGAAATCATAGATGGTGTTAGCTGTGGAAAACTAGATGTGACTTTCGTCCGATTTGGGAATCGTTAGCTGGATGTACCTCGATCCCAAGTTGATGTTCATACTGGGACTCGAACTCAGTACCGTTCGCTTCAAATGCCGTCACATTATGTACTTAGCTACAGAGTCCTGTTAGCCACTTGCTTGTGCAATATGGTGAAGTCTAAATTCATTTGGTATTGATTACTTGTATCTTCCCATGGATGTTTAGGACTACAAACATTCAGTCTCTTGTTGGCATATCTGCATCCTGTGTGTATTAACTTGATATTGCCTTAATTCACAAGTATTATAAACAAGGATGGATAATGGCTAGCAATATCGTGGCAATCCTCCACTGGATACACATATATGCCAATCAAGTGAATTTACAATTATTATTCAAATGTATATTTTGTTTTAACTATACATATTTAGAAACTTAAATCAACATCATAAGATCATTGAATATGAACAGTTAACTTGAATCATATGATGAGTGTCATATAAGGAATCACTAATTAACTAGTCAATTACTAATAATTTATAGAGTTACCTATTAATTTTCGTTTTGTTTAAATGCACCACTATTGATCAATGTTATGTAAGGATTGAAATTTCTAGACAAAATTTATTTTTTTTTTGAAAGAAAATTAAGAGCTCCCAAATGCCCTGGTACGATCAAGGGTAGGTAGAGTCAATTCTCCTTCGCGAAATACTTTCACATGGCCAAGCGTATACAGCTACCGACAGGGAAGTTCTACTTATTGCCTTCTTGTAACACGGGTGTTGTTTTCGAAATTGAGAGGACAAGTATCGAATATCCGGCGCCTTAACAGAGTTAGTGGATATGAAGGATACATCTAGAGGAGTTGGGGTATACTGATTCCAAATCAATGGTGCTCATAGGCTCCAGTATCGTGAGGGAACAATTGGAGTATGAACCAATCATTGGTCACCGGCTATCATGAGACTGCATCTCCTGACGTTCCTCCATTGCCTTGTGGATCAGATCTTTAAGTCGAAGGCTCCGAGTGTGGCCCCCTATGAAAACCATCTGCTCTGGTTCGGGCACCCGGTCAGTATTCCAGCCGAGTGGTTTATGTGGCGCATATTTGTAGTTGATGCCCCTTTGTACTAAAGTTTACGTGTCTAAACAATAATAATGGTGTATGCACGCTGCTGAGGAGCCACACAACAGGACGAAACGGCCGTCCAGTGCTTCCAGGTTTCCCATGATGGTTAAGCTTCAATTGACTCATGATCTCAACTGTTGAAATTACTACAATCTCCACAAAACCCTTCAGAATTCTATATTCATCTATCTTATAGATTTTGTACAGATATATGGAAAGGGTGATCCATCGTTACAATATCTGAGTTTTTCTTTTGAAAACATCTTGTATGTGATTTTTTTTCATTCTAAAAGTTGTCAGTTAAAGAAATGGTTGTCAATGTTGAAGTTTTATAATAAGCATATGGTTCGATTTAGAATTTTACTTTATATGCATAAACATTAGATTATTGTTGACACCCACATAATTAATCACATATAATTGTCACTAACACTAAATAGGTGATTCTCGTGTGTACACGTATAGGTAAACCGTAGCAAAAAAGTGTAAACATACATCTCGCGTTAAAATTGTTATTTGATCTTGGATACTGAAAAATGTAACTTATAGGAATAAGATGGTTTCACAAGTGTGTGTGTGTATTGTGTTATGGTGTATGCTACATATGTTTATTGATATAAGTAGTATGTAACACTAATCAGAAGTGGAATGCATGACAGTAGAAGATTGATTGTGAATAAGAACAGAGAGTAATTGTAATAGCAATCATGAAACAATGCAGTTTGAGATAATTGATCTAAGATTTGAGAATGAAATATGTAATGTATAGTTCTTGACAATTTTACGAAAGAACTCTGTAACTTTGCGTCCAATCATATATATTGGTTGTTCCAACCTGAGTTCTCGTTCATACCAGTGTAATTGGTACTATATCTAATAATAAACAGTACTTGGTAAACACATATCAGGCTGTTTTGAATGATAACAATGTGGATTCTTTCTAAATATTTATGTTTTTTCTTAGCTTGAAGGACACAACTCATCCTTTTAAAAGTAGTATATCATTCGAAACACGATAAATTGTCCGTCCAATAACCTAAGATGCTATTCTATTGAGAAGGTAACCTTCAACATGGAAATAAATCTACTTTGACTGTTCCCGACTTAGTGATTTTCATAGTGATAATTAACTCAGTCATCTGAGATGTCTGACTATAGTAAGTATTTTAACTAGATTGTAAATTCCTGTGAGAGTTTGACTTGTTTATGTGACACGAAAGACTGTAATATAAGTGAAACTATATTATGTAATTTTTTAGTATGCAGGTATATTACGGAAATTTTAAAAAACACAGAGTTCAGCGAAGGGATCTCTTTCCAACGAATTTATTGTCAAGCTGTACAACCGTACATATCTGGAATTTTTTTTAAAGTACTAGTTCTGTGAGGAAATGTGAACAAGGAATAACCAAGATGACGTAATAAAGATTGTAACACTAGATAAATGAAAATGTAAAAAGAAACAATAGACTTTATATGATAGTAACGAATTATAACGTGAAGGCAGTGAGATGAAAATGTTATTCAAGGAGTATAATAAAGTGAAATAAATTTGGGAAGAGAAAAAAAAGGGACAAGAAGAATTCAGGAGAACACAAAGAGTGGATGAACCTGTGCCATTGCAAACGATTTTGAGCCATGTCATTCAAGATCTCTAACCATCGGTTGCTATCGTCTCACGGATCCCCAGAAACAGGTAGTCTACACCTACCAACATGACTCAGTTCACTTTTCAGTCACTTCATGAACTTGTGCCATGTTTTGGTCTGACCGCCACTTTCTTCCAACCTACTCCCAGACCACAAAACATCACACGTCGGGCAGTCGGTGGTTGGGCATACGTAACACATGTCCCAGCTATCACAACTGGAGTTTCACTACTTCATCAATTGATTCGCCATCCTTACCTAGTACCCGTCTCCTGACAACCGTATTACTTACTCGATGGTACCAGGATATACGAGCAATGTTTGGATGACACCTATGATGGAATACTAATAACCTACGAAGATCTTCTACACTTACCCGGCCATGTTGCACTGCCATGAACTAGGACGGAACGAACTGCTGCGCAGTAAACCCGTCCTTTGGTTGATAGACGGGTATCTTGCCTACGCCATAAATGACACAAGTTGGCGAAATCTAGTCAAGCCTTCTGTATCCGTGCTGAGATTTCGTAGCACACCAGACCACAAAGGCCGATGAGGAATTCTTTTGTATATAACTGAGTGACAGGTTTATGCGTTAAGTATGAAAATGCCATACACTAGTTGTTTAATAAATTCACTAGCCAATGTTCTACTTACTTTCTTCATATTTATATTAACGCCATAAAGTACTTTGTAATTGGACATTTCTGATAAGGAACTACTACCTGGGCTAGTTAAGAGAAGCGCTATCGGACAAATATTTAAGAATGGTCGGTACACTAATTAGGAAAGATTCACAAAATTATTATGACTAGTCTTATGTAATATATGAGTACAATAAACAGATAGATGATACTGTTGACAACTGATCACACTCCAGTGAAATTACTTGTACTATACTACTCTAATAAATGTTCATTTGATATAAATAGTTCCCAAACAAGGTTAGCGCTTTGATCACAAGCTATCGTTGAAAATCCTAAGTGATGTAATCTAAAATTGATCATAAAAAATAAATCCCATTTTTTCTCTCAAAGTGTATATACTTTATGCTTATAAGCAAAGATGGATAGTGGCTAGTAGTGGAATCATGGTCGTGAGTTTCGTCCTATTTGGGACTCGTCAGCTGAATGTACCTTCATCGAAGTGTTGATGTTCACTCTGGAATTCGAATCCAGTACCATTTGCTTCACATGCTATCGCATTATCCATTTAGCTACTGATTTCTGACTTCAAACAATATCGACGTAGTCCGCATAGGATGCACATATGCCAACAAGAGACTGATCAATTGCAGTCCTAAACATAAATGGGTAGATATAAGTAAAACAACACCAAGTGAATAGTTCATGTTTAGTTTCTTAATTTTCGTGTATGTTTCTTTCAGTTCATTTTGTTATGATGTTAAGTACAACAACTTTAACCAATGACTATTATGGATAAATGTTAAACTATTTAAGAACATATGTAACAAACTTATCATACCATCTAATTCATATTAAAGAACTTTTAAATACGAAAGAAAGAAAAGAAACACAAACAAATATCGTTATTCCAAAGAAAAAAAAAGAAAGAAAACAGAACAGAATCAATCGGAAAGGTTAATTCTCTCTTGTTTTTTTTCAACTGGAAACCTTTTTTTCGCTTCATTTAAGTGTTTTCTTTTGTTTGTTTTTTTTCTTCAAAACAACAACAATAATAGCAAGAACAACAGTAAAGACAATAAGTAAACATTAGCCGAAAGACTGAAACTACTTATGTATAAAGAAGTAACTAAGTATGTGTTAACACTAATAAGCACAATGATAATAGTAATATAATTATGTATATTGAAATTATGTAATGATCAATATGATATACAATGTAAGTAATAACATTAGTTTATGTCTAAAAACTTATATTATTGTTTCATGTTTAACACTGCCTTAATTACAATGTGTATATATATATAGTGATTGAAAGGATTTAATCAATCATGCTGGGAAACAAACGAACGTAAAAATAGATAATTAGATGCACAACTTAACCACCAGGTAATAAGTGTAGGAAAAGAAATTGTAACAATCCGATTATACAAGAGAAGAGAAAGTTAAGTACTAACAAGACAAAACGATAATGGAACAGAATATGAGCATAATGTCAAATGAACAATAAATATTTCGACAATATACAATGGATTTAATTAACGATACCATGTTATTTGTCCAGATAATGATGAAAGTAATCATAATAATAATAAAAATATACAATACATACAAGTGAATTGTATAACAGGCTAAGGAGAAGGAAATGTATGAGAAACAAACAAAAGATTGAAAAGAACAAAATTTGTTACAATTTGATAGAATGAATGTTTCACTGGACACAGTGCATTCAACAACAACAACTAATAGTTCAGTATAATATGATCATAATAGTAATAATAATAATGATTATGATGATCATCATCATTCAAAAAAACCCGCTAAAAATGACGGCAAGAAAAGAATATATCTATATATAGGTGTGTTTAGTTGATTGATATTAGAATGAATTAGATAATCTATTTCTTTCTTTTTCAATTCCATTAAACTTGATTAAACATGAATATAAACCTTAAATAGATACGTACCCTTTCGTCAACAAACAAACAACCAATAAATTAGGATCATGAAATGATAACCATCAATCAATCAATCAATCACTCAATCATAGACACATCATCCTGATTATTTATTTAAGATAAATAATCAATAAATCTAAATAAGTAGTATGTAAAGGGTATTTGAAATAAATAAATAAACAAATAAGTAGTGTATAATACGAATTGAAATGAATTTGTTTACTATATAAAGAAAAAATTAAGGTAACAATTATAAGATTAAAATATTGTTATTCAAATAAAACATTATTAGTTAATTTAATAAAACAACAACAACAACAAGAAAAAGGGAAACAAACGTAGAAAGATTATAGGGATGATGATAATGATGAAATAAGCAATTCAAAGGGGGGGGGGAAGGGAGAAAAATGCGTATCTATCTATCTATCTATTTAAGTAAATAAGCAGTAATATAATAGGTGTATACAATTCAATTATCAACTAATTTTGTATTATTCTAAATATTATTCAAAGATGCATTGAATAGTAAGTGATAAATTATACTTGATTAGATGATGATAGTCAACTGAACTATACAAACTGAAATAAATAATTACAAGTATTACTAATATATATTAGTATTAAAGTGCAATAACAACAACAACAACAATAACACACAAAAACAAACTGAATAAAAACACTTACTTAGTATTGGAACAGTGCAGAAATTCACCGGAACTAAGATAACTCATTTACAAGGTATATGAGGTTTTTAACAATATTTTATTTTAAAGAAGATAAATGAAAAATTCTCTTTCTGGATCAACGTATCCTTTTGTTTTTTTTCTTTTGAAAGTGAATTTATTGATAGTTAATGTGTTCTTTTTTTTCCCATTTTGTAATTTATGATTAATAGTAGTACATTAATCCTGATGGGTGGTCTATGCTTCTCCCAAGACGGGTAACAGCCGTTAATATGTAAGTAAGTAAGTAACTTAACACAATAGAATAAGATTAAAATGTAGTCAAAAAAGAAGTACGTTTTTTTTCATTAATTTTGTAGATCAGTAATTTTACTAACTGCACACTCATTACTATTTTCATGGTATTTATTTTTTTTTATAATTTTACTTCTCCATAGAATTGAATATGTAATAAACATCAAATTGATGGATTGATTGAGTTAAATACCTTTCTCCACTAATAAACTAGGACGTATCTTTTGAAGGAAGCCCCAATCATTAATGGAAACAAATCCATAGGCGTACAATAATGTTAATCTATAAGAGTAATGTAATAAACAAAAACTTTGTAAAAAAAAAAGTACTAACAATAATAATGGGATTAATGTAGAGTGGTTAAATTTGCTTTACTTCTTAAAATTTATGTACGATGCTTCCTGAGTAGTATAAGAGTGAGATTGAAAGAAGACGTGGAATCAGTACATGAAATCACCTACAGTCGGACTGCGCAGTATAATTAGATTTACAATACATGACTAGAGTCCGTGAGATTATTGCCATCAATGGTTTGAGATGTTGGGCAATATGGTACATAAGAGGCTACAATCACACAAATGCATTCCACTTTGTTTTGTATCAGACCGTAAGTTTTAAAATCACGTTTACAACAAAAATCACAACTACAAATATGGAATATGAATAATTCATTCATAATTGATTGAACATTGGGTAGTGACCAATGTCATGTGTGTTAGTTCCTTCTTAATGCAAATCGAATTCTATCGATTACGTTGTAATATGGCCACTAGTCTGGGTGACTCGACATCGCATGCACTATGTTGATATGAACAGTGTAGTCGACAGTAAACCCTGTTATATATTACGTCAGTAAGGTGTAACTCATATTTAAAAAGAACACATTGCGAAATAATTATTTTGTTGTGAAAATCTGATCTAATACTTTTCTATATCTCATCACTATTTTATTATTAAATACTTTAAGCTATCGAGAATACGGGAAAACCAGTTATTTCTAACGCATAAACAATAGCCTATGATAAATTATGGAGTTTATATATTTTCACTGTTGAAATCACGGGTGGATCTAAGCTAGATCACCATTGAAAACCTGGAAGGCCTAGTATAGGACTCCTGAGCAGTGCGCACCTACAAACCCACACACGGGACTCGAACCCAGGACTTTTGGTCTTTATCAGACCCTAGAAACTCAAACTACTTCCATAATTTCTTGTGAAGAAAATCAATCTCATCGAACTGTAATGGTTACTGATTAGCTAGCGCTTGAATGTAAAAGTTGGATACTAAATTCAGTACTTTTTGATAGTTTCGAGCTTGTCTCATCTTACTTTTGACGTTGAAAAAACCCACTAAATGGTCGTACATATCTTGTTCTCATTTTAATGAGTGTATGCAGTGAAATATAAAATGAACTTAAACAAATTAGTTAGTGAATACATATATATAGCCCCTAGAAAGAGAAGATAGATAAACATGGTAGTCTTACAAGGTTACATACATTTACATAAGTGGAATTAGTTAATGATTTAAAATTACAAATAATTAGTACAGTTTTCTATAGTAATTTAATCTAGATTGTTTAATTAACTCAGTTTAGACCACAGAAATATCCATTTTCAGATGAATTCTTAAAAGACAATTTTATTAAAGATGTGCTATAAGTTTCTAATTATATCATGCTACCTGTGGCGAAGGCGAGATATCCGTCTATCAATTAAGGGACGAGGACACTATGCAGCAGTTTGTTCTGTTATACCTTTACGGCTGCGAAACATGGCCATTAAGAGTAGAAGATTCTGGTAAACTACTAGTATTTGACCACAGATGCCTTAGAAATATTGCCAACATCCGCTGCGATCACCGGGTAAATAATAGTGAGGTTAGATGCAGGGTATTAGGGAATGATGGTAAATCAGTTGATGAGGTTGTGAATCTTCATCGACTGAGATGGTTGGGCCACGTGTTACGTATGCCTGAACACCGATTACCACGACATGCAATGCTAACCGGTGTTCGGGATGGTTGGGAGAAATTTAGGGGCGGCCAAACCAAAATGTGGAACCAGTCCTTGAAGTCACTAACTTCTAGTCTGAGCCATGTTGGTTGATGCAGACTACTTGGTTGAGGTCCGCGTGACTATTCTAACCAATGGTTGGAGACTCTGGGTGACAGTTTAGAATGGATCACATAGCGTAGGTGCAGACACCCTCTATCTTCCCTTAAACTGAGATTAAAATCGTTTTATTTCTTTCTAAGAACAAATTCTTTGTTCCTTATATGCAATCTTTCTTTTATATATTACCATGAATGAATTAACTACTTCTATGAATTTAGTGTTCATCTTGTTGTGCTAATGAGGTATGGCAACTTGGACCGATGCATATATGTGCCTGGTCCTATGTTGTAGCTAACTGACTGATATATATCATGTATAAAAGTTACTTTTAAGCATTAAACCGTATGGTGAAAAAACAGTCGCGATCCTATATACAGTAGATGTTTAATTGGGAATTCATTTACGATTGTTCTGAATAAACAGAAATCACCATAGTTATATGAAACAGAATATTTATCCATCTAATATATATACTAATGTTACACCACTGTGAACCAGCAGTAATCCAATCTTCTAATCATCCTAAGCTTAATGATAATTTAGGTTGGATGTTGGGGAAAAGCAATAGTATTAACCCTACCCGTTTATTATTATTATTATTATTATTATTATTATTATTATTATTATTATTATTGTTATTGTTAATATGTAAGCAGGGAATAATACTAATATTGTAACTTACTTAGGACAGGCTTCAATCAACTTTTCAAGTACATCACTGGTTATTTCTCTACAATGGCTAATTCGTAAACATTTTAAGCATACTGCAGGAGCATTTGTTAGATGGAATAAACTGGAAATGTAAAGACAAAAAGTGAAGTGATTCATTTAATAACACCAATATATAACATGAAACAATTCAGAAAATGACATATAAATAAGTATATCATACATACACAGAGCAGTGTATGGAATAAACACTAAGCCAATCTTTTCACTGTGATAATATGATGTCTTCTGATTTGATCAAGTACATTTTTGAACTATTCTTATGATTGTTAACAGATTTATTTTACTCGTTTGTGTATGGCAGAACCCGTGAGAAAGTTATGTCGACATTAAACGTACACTATAAATCTAGTAATTCAGTTAATGAAGCTGTGAACCTTGGGCGGATGAAATAACTTTAACACATTCAGCCACCAGGATTGATGTTGTATGCTACAGAGTACGGAGAAGTTAGAAGTGACAAAAAACAAAGTCAGTCAGTTAGCCATATACGACATAGAATGTAACAAATAGGTGCATCGGTTCAGGTTTCCATACGATATTAGCACAGTGAGATAAATGCAAAAGTAGTAACATAATCAGCAGTATTAGTAGTAAATATTAGGTACGGAAGAAAAAGTATAGAGACAGGGAGAACAGGACATGATATCAGTTCGCCAAGTAAATAACATTTAGACTGAACTGTGTATTTACGTGCATACGTCCAGCAAGATAGTAGAGAGAGAAAGAGAACAATATTTGCTAATTAAATTGCATAACTTTTACAGTGACGCGTTCTCTTGTAAAATTCTAATTCCTATCATAACAGAAAAACTAATAAACGTGCGGAGAAAGAAAATCTTACACAAAAATTTGACAAAACTTGTACAACAGAATTTCAACGGTCATCAGTTCCTATATTTAGGATAATTAAATAATCCTAAAGGACTTTGGAGATGCAAGGAAAGTGTTGAAGCGCAATATATGATGTAAAAAGTCCTATTGTATGCAACAAAAGAATGAAGTTCTTCTTATCTGACCAGCTTCGACCAAACATCCACATAACCACATCCTATAACCTGATCAAGTCTAAATCATAAACACATGTACAAATCCAATCATGTATTCATATCGTAAAATACACATTCACTCAGATGCACACTTACAGATATTAAAATTATATCATACACAAACACTTTTGACGTAAATAACACAACAGTAACAAGTTCTTTCAACTTATTACCATGTATTTACTGAACATATAATTTAATTGGTTCTTACCAATTAAATTGTTTATTTGCTGAAGAAGGTAGTAAGTCGTCAGAAATTTATTTCACTACTTATTGAGACGTCATCACCGTCGGAAAACAACTAAATATTCAGTTTGTAATAAACATGTTTTAGTTATGACATTTACAGCACTGCGGATGATATACAGTTCCAGTGTTGAAGAATGACAAGTAAGCAGTCATGTCTTAATCAATAGATGAGCACATAAAATTGAGAGAAAACCTATTGATTTGGCCTACATGCTAATAGAAATTCAGGTACAGTCGTAACATCAACGCTAAATTGATTAGATGACACCTTTTTCTCCACAACAGATAAGTGGTATGGCTGATTGAAATGTAATAGTAACAATTCGAGAGTTGTGTCTTGAACTTCGTTGCCTAAAAGAATCGGGATTACATCTTTATTGCGGTATTCATTTATTTGCACATATAAATATTGGTACAAGAGGGCACCAAATTTATATGCGTCACACAATAACAATGAGGCCAGTAGTAGTTACCATTGATTTATATGAGGACTGTGATACTGCTCGGGTGCCCAAACCAAAACAGGTGGTTTTGTTAAGGGACCACTCCGCAAGCCTTTGACTCGAAGGTTTAACTCACAAAGCAGTGGAGCAACATCACAAGATGCAGTCCCATAGTAGAGAGTGGCCAACAATAGGTTCCTGTAATTTGTTCTCTTAGGATCCTGAAGCCCATGTGCACCACTGTATTGAACTCAGGGTTTCCCAGCTGCCCTAGGTGGATCCTCCATATCCACCAACCCAATTAAAACGCCGGACACTCGCTACTTGTCCTCTCAATTTCGTAAACAACACCCCCCCCCGACGCAAGAAGGCTGTGAGTAAGACTTCCTTGTTAATGACTGCATACGTCGGCCATGTGAGAGCATTCTGAGAGGAAGAGTTGACTCTCCCTACCCTCGGCCGTACCAGGGCATTTGGGGTAATAAGAGTAATTTAGATGAGGCTAAAAAATTTTAAAAAATAAGTTGTATTTTATAGAATTCGATAATCTATTCGATTAAGGATCGAGTATCAATCCATTTTGATAGCTGGAACTTGGTAAAGAAGATCTATTAGTTTAATTTCAGTATGTTCATTTTATCTGAACGGTTAGAATGAATGTGATTGAGTGGTATGACACAGAGATATTCAAAAGTATTTGAATGACTTTATTTTAGAACGAGCAAAATTTATTCTATTTCAAAAACTTGTCAGATCTTTAAAGCCATTAATATTTTCCACTTGGTTAAGAATCAAAACAGTCTTATTGATTAAAAACGAGTGATTGATATATTGGAGATTAACCTACGGTCCCAACTGAACGTTTTGCTATATGATATTATTGATTCAGAAAATCCAGTGTAATTAATGAGTTCAAATCTGACCTTATAAAAGAACATTAGATAAACGACCCTATAAATCAATAACAATGTTAATAGTACCAAATCTATTCATAAATCATAGTCATTTGAAGACCCACTAGTTAAAATTCTAGTTAAATTCATGTTCAAATGCGGTTATTCAAGACAGAATCTCTTCCAGCATACTTAGAGAAAACCGTTCCAGAATAACAAACCCAACTGTTATTTATTACCGGTAGAGAAAGAAAACTTTTTTCAGTTCCCTATTCTTTTTAGTGGCCTTGTGATATGATGCGGACCAATTAAACTCAACACTTAAATATTCATTCATCGAAGAGTGAGTGATCACTTCTAATTAATTAATCTTAGATATTAACATCGTTAAATGAAGGTTCCGTAGGTCTAGAGGTTAATTGGTGATACAATTGTTGCAACTCAATTGCTATTCATCTTGTCAAAATAGTACGGTATAGCAATACGGACTAACGCACATTTAAATCAATCAAGGTCTGTGTGTATTATGACCAATTGCTTGTCAGTTATCCTTTTGATAGCAGTACACTGGAAGTTTATAATAATAACCTGGTCTCGTAAGCAGTTGCTGTTCAGTCATATGGTATTCATACTAATAATCTATTAATCAGTATTTTATTATTTCATTTAACAATCCATACTTGTTTATCATTATAAATTTGGGACCTTATAAAAAACATGTTTGTACTCAATATTATTAGATAGAATAGCAATGCTTTAATTTTCTTCTTTTCACATTCAATCAACTTCACAATAGTATTAACGAAAAAAAAAAGAAGAAACTCCACATAAACTATGGAGAAGTTACACAATTATCAACACATATAAACAAACCTTTGAATTCGATTCTATTGAAGAAACTAAATTCCAAATGGCGTTAAAAAGCTAATCGTTGCACATAACCATGTAGTTGGTTTAAAGCTTATTCATCTCTTATCAATCAATTATAAGAAGTTCTATAATAGAGTTGGTAAAATTTACCAACAACCTCAAAGATTCACAAGTGAATTAAAGATGAAAATAACAGATATTTTAATTATATTAAACACCGGTTACAGACAGGATTTTCATTCAAAACAATATATAAACTGTAAAAGAATTAACTTTATTGACTTACCCTTTTTGGGTAACAGAAGTACAACTGACATCAAGTTCTTCTAGTTGAGGACAACTGGTGGCTAAAACCTCCATAGTTAAATCACCAACGGCGGCTAGACCACACAGATCGAGTACACGCAAACGAGGCAAACGGCGTAACATTTGGGCAATCCCAGTTTCACGTTTTAAAGAATGCATATTAGCTAAAACAACTTCTTCTAAATGAGGACATTTGGCTGCTAACTGAGAAAGATTATTATCATCACTGAAGGTTTGTGTTCCTCGTAGATCAAGTGAAGAAAGGTGAGGTAGCTGTAGAAGAAGAAAAAGATAAAAGGAATTACCACCTACTCTAAAGATTGAAATTTAGTTTGCCACTAAACACTATTTGATTAAAGCAATTGTAAAAACGCACTAAATGATTACAAATACACAGACACTTGTTGTTCAGTTTTCGAGTTTATTTTAACGCTCCTTTAGCTAACTCAAGATTTTTCATTTTTGCGTGTGCATAAGTGTGGTAACTTGAACTTTCTGACGTGGCCCATTAACCAAACAGAGATTCATGGATACGAGTTATTTATGGGCTTATGTGTAAGTAATAACAAAGTGCAAAATTTGAAACTAGAGTAATCACAGTGGCAGTCAGTCATAAGTGACGTAGAACCTGTTACATATGAGCATCAGTTCAAGTTGCCGGACCATATGAGTATAGCAAAACGAAACTATCAAGATGGTAAAGGTGGAGTGTGATTTGAATCTAGGACTGAAAGATGGAAGAACACGTTCTTTTTAACCACTAAGTCAATGCCTTACTTGAAGGAATGTACTACTACTCATACTATTTTTATGTACGTCTTTTTCATAGGACAATTGAATTATCCTTGAATGGGAACGGATTGGGAATGCAGCATCTTCAAATTTCCAAATAGTTTATCCCATAAACAGAGGTTGTTAACAACTTACAGGTTACAAACAGAATTTATTTTATAAGTTACCATAGTAAATTACGATATTCTTGAAAGTGTTTTCTTGGAATAAAGTGAATAGAAGATAGTCGAAATAAGTATATTGTAAAAGTGTTAAACACAGTTACATCAAATAGTTTGAATACGAAGGTTGAACCTAGAGTCACAACGTACTAATATGGATTGCTTATAAAATAAATGGATAATCATATTATAGGTAAAATTCTATGAACTAAATTCATAATGTGATGGGGGTGGCGTGTCAGAAGAGATAGATATCCATGTATAGTAAAACCAGAGCGGTTTATGCTCATTTGAATCATCTTTGGCTCCATCATCATGTTACTCTGGCTGTAAAAATTTGCATCTACAAAGCGGCGGTGAGAGTAGTTTTCTTTTATGCAAGTAAAATCCGACTTTCCCGAGTTAAGGTAATCATCGTTACATCCATAGGAGTGCTAACATTCATTGACAGCACTACGTTAGCAATACAGAGGTTCGGCAATGTGAGTTTGGGTACAGTGATGACAATCCATTTAATGCTACTAACTTGAAACACCGACATCGGCGACTTGGAAATATGCTACGAATATCCTACTATAAACTTTCATATAGTGCATTATTTCTCGACACGGAGAGTAGTTGAAAAAAGCGGAGAGGTGATCAATTTATGATATGGTGTTGGGGTATCAAAGAATGCTGTATAGGACTGGGATTTATCGATTCACTATGACTTCCTGTTTGGGTTCGAGAGATACCGCAACTCAATGGCTTGAGATTTTATCGGACATGACTCAGAATATAAACCAGTAGTGGTCCCACAACAATTTCGTTTTACTCTCTTCGTAAAAACGAGAGGAACCGAAAGGATTTTTTCAGGTCATATTTTTCTTCACCGAACTGTTTCTCCTACCATATAGTAATCTCGTCCACTTATTTCCTTTCAAAAGATAAAATGACATAGTAGACTCAATTTTGAAGGTTAATTACATGATCAGGTTGCGTGGAGGTCAAGTTGCAAAGTACATTAATGTGAGGGAAATGAGCGGTTCAAAACTGAGATTAATAATTATACAACAATGTTACATATTTCGATTACTTTGCTGACAAGTTCTAATAAACCATCTGAAGATAAATGATGGAGATGTCCAAATGCTAGTGCTCTCAATTCTTGACACTGTCCCAATAAAGCCAATATACTTGAATTTAAACGAAAACATCCAAACAACTCTAAACGCTCCTTTTATAATTAAAAACAAACAAACAATAAAAACAAAATTAACATTAATGATAAAACAAAACAAGGATCAATAAGTATTCGTTAACAATTTCATTATGTAATATTTGTTATGACTTTATGTCCGGCTAGTTATCACGTGATTTATCCACCAATCAAAATACGACATTTACAATCTTAGCACCGTGCCAAACCAATGACGTTCGACCGGTATGAGCAGCCTAGCTTCCTTATTAGTCCTGTGTCCGCTTAGCTCGTCCACTTGAGTCCAGAACACCAATACCAGCTTCCACTAAGCGAATCATATATTTCAAACATACTAGGTTTATATATGAATCAAAAAGACCGCAACGCACCATACACAATAAAGCCAAAAAAGTGGCTGTGAACGTGGGAGACAGTAGTAAATAAACTGAGCATAATTTAGGGATAGTAAATCGTATAATAATAAATTATAGGTCAAGATGAAGCTTATAAAAAGAGGAATATAAATACACATAATCTTATTATTGAATAATTATACAATAAGAATATTTATAGAATATTAGTCCATTAATAGTCCTCGGAAGTTACCCGTAATTTAATCTTCACTAGGATATAACACTATTTACAATTGTAGTTAGAACAGTGGATTATATTGTTTGTTTTTTTCTTATTAGACAATGTTTATGATTCATTTAATCCTAGTGAAATATTTATGTATCAATAAAGAATGTTCAAATCACATGAAGTAGTGATAATGTGTTTTACAAAACTACAAATATTAAATTAAATGATGGTAGAATATAACATTGATATTACGTTAATAGGTGATATTTAAAGTAGTATAAACAAGTACAACACATTGTTTATATATATGTGTGTCTGTTTATATTAAACGTATTAATAAATGGAAATAAAAGCTGTCTCATATAAACTAACTAATCATGTTTGCTTTTAATGTCTTGATATTTTTGTTTTTAAACATCAGATTAGTTACAACGTAGAACTTTGTATGTACGTACATCAGTTCGAGTTGCCACACCACATTAGCACAAAGATGCAGTGGTCGATTCAAATCCCTTAGTGGTAGAGTTAGTAAGAGTATAAGCAGTAATCGGAAAGATTAGGGTTTGAAGATGTTATCCAAGGAGTATAATCCAGTGAAATAAATTTGGGAAGAGAGGAAAAAGAGAGAAGAATTCAGGAGATTAGAATTTAGGAGAACACAAAGAGTGGATGAACCTGTGCCATTGCAAACGATTTTGAGCCATGTCATTCAGGATCTCTAACAATCGGTTGCTATCGTCTCGCAGATCCCCGGAACCAGATAGTCTACACCTACCAACATGGCTCAGTCCACTTTTCAGTCACTTCATGAATTTGTGCCATGTTTTGGTCTGGCCGCCACTAACTTTCTTCCAACTTACTCCTACACCATCAAACATCGCACGTCGGGCAGTCGGTGGTTGGGCATACGTAACACATGTCCCAGCCACCTCAACTGGTGAAGTTTCACTACTTCATCAATTGATTCGTCATCCTTACCTAGTACCCGTTATCTAACAACTGCATTACTTACTCGGTGGTCACAGGATATACGGGCAATGCTTCAAAGACACTTTAACATATTTTACCAATCACATTCGCCACACAAAACTAATTATTATGTAACATTACAGAAGACATAAAATGCGTTAACAAATGTTAGAAGTCAAAATCCAAGGTGAAAGATAACCAGTTAATACATACCTTCGCTATTGTAACCGATGCCCCCAAATACTCTGGTATGGCCGAGAGTGGGGTAGGTTCGCCCTCCCTCTCGAAATGCTCTCACACGGCCACGCGTATACTGCCTCTGCCAGGGAAGTCATACTCATTGCCTTCTCGTGGCGGGGGTGTTGTTTACAAAAATGAGAGGACGAAAAGCGAATGTCCGGCGCTTTAACCGGATCACAAACCAATGAAGCACATGGGCTCCAGTATCCTGAGGGAACAAATGGCGTATGAACCAATTGTTGGTCACCGGCTACCATGGGACTGCATCTCCTTACGATGCTCCACTGCCTTCTGGATCAGACCTTCAGGTCGAAGGCTCGGGGTGTGGCCCCCTAAGAGAACCACCTGCTTCGGTTTGGGCACCCGGGCAGTATCACAGCCCACACACACACACAAATATGGTGTGACGCATATATATTTGGTGCCCTCTTGTACCGATATTTATGTGTTGAAATAAATAAATCAAGAATATTGTAGCCGATAATTGAGTCATGTAATCAAAAGTATCTTTCACTACAGACTACGATTATCAAGTGGAACCCAACCAAGTTTACACTCTTCCACAAGATTAAGGCTAACAATCAATAACTTGATGAACTAATGAGTATCTCGAAAACCACATCAATGTCCATGTATTATTAATTTGTCACAGATATTGACAGATAATTATACTAATTAGATGACTTCAAAATAGTAACTAATTAGCTAAAAGTAGAATGTTTAAACTAATTAAACAAAACTCTAGTCTTCCGCAGTGATGCAGTCCTATTACGAGTTTTCATAGCAAAAACTAATTCACAACAGTTTTCATCAAAGATACTCGATTTTATAGAAGGGAGCATGTGATCTTAATTGTACACAGGACTTTCGCCATAAGTTTGTCTTTGTGAAATATTTTATTTCTAGTTCAATCACAATCGTAATATACTATAGATGATTGTATATAGATATTGTAGAGGCTAATGTCATATTTGAAATTTAGAGTTCATACAGAACAACGAATATCCGTAAAGATACTTTTGTACGAACAAACAACTAAAAATTATGCATATATGCAGTGAAGATGGGACACTTTTGTACTATTAGGTACACTGAACTGTATGACTCAAGACACCTACTAATTGTAACTAATACATATGGTGATTGCAGTTAGAATATTAATCCGATACTGAAAAAGAATTGGATAAAGTTACACTGTTCTTAACTCAGATGACAATGTGTCACGTTATACTTGGTCCTATATGTCACACAATCTGGTTATTTTTTAATCTGAGTAATTGGATAGTTTACCAATTTTATTTTATTAAAACACATAAACATGGGCACAAGTAGGCACCGAATAGATATGCATCGCAATCCATAGTCCGGTTTGTGTGAAGGCTGGAATACTGCTTGGGTGCCCAAGCCGAAGCAGGTGGTTTTCTTAGGGGCACGATCCAAGCTTTTGACATAGAAGTTTCATTCACAAGGTAGTGGAGCAACGTCAGGAGGTAAAATCCTATGGTAGCCAGTGACGATGGTCACAAGTCTAACTGACTGCCAGTCAGTCAGTCAGTCAACTACAACGTAGGACCAGGCACATATGTGCATCGGTCCAGGTTGCCATACCTCATTAGCACAGCAAGATGAACACCGGATTCATAGGAGTGGTTGAGTCAAAGGTTGCAATAAGGATATAGTATAGGAAGAAAGAAATAGTTCGTAGAAAGAAAGATATGAAGTGATTTTAATCTCTTAGTTTAAGGGAAGACAGGGAGTGTATACACCGACGCCATTGTGATCGATTCTGAGCCATGTCACCAAGAGCCTCCAACCATTGGTTACGATGGTCACGCGGACCCCAACCAAGTAGTCTGCATCTACCAACATGGCTCAGACTAGAAGTTAGTGACTTCAGGCACTGATGCCACGTTTTGGTTTGGCCGCCCCTAACTTTCTTCCAACCATCCCCTACACCGGTTAGCATTGCACGTCGTGGTAATCGGTGTTCAGGCATACGTAATACGTGGCCCAACCATCTCAGTCGATGAAGATTCATAACCTCATCAACTGATTTACCATCATTCCCTAATACCCTGCGTCTAACCTCACTATTATTTACCCGGTGATCGCAGCGGATGTTGGCAATATTTCTAAGGCATCTGTGGTCAAATACTAGTAGCTTACGGGTGTCTTCTACTCTTAAGGGCCATGTTTCGCTGCCGTAAATTAAAACAGAACGGACTGCCGCGCAGTATACTCGTCCTTTTATTGATAGACGGATATCTCGCCTCCGCCAAAGGTGACGTAAGTTGGCAAAAGCCAAACGAGCTTTTCGAATCCGTGCTGAGATTTCGTCAGACACCAACCCATTACGGCTGATCAGACTTCCAAGATAAGTGAAGTTGTCGACGCGTTCGACCACTTCACTCCCTATCCTTAGTTCAGGTGTTGGCGCAGACCAGTCCTGAAGCAACAACTCGCATTTAGAGGGAGAGAAGCGCATCCCGAACATTCTGGCATTGTTGTTTAGTGCTACCAGAAGACTGCATTTTGTCAGCGCCTTCACCAAACAGGACTGTGTCATCTGCGTATCCTAAGTCGATAAGTGGACTTCCGAGAAGGAGATCAATAACCGAGAATTCAGTCGACGAGAATGTTATTTTCATCAATATGTCTATGATGAAGTTAAACAAAAACGGAGAAAGCGGACAGCCTTGACGGACACCACTTGAAGTTGCAAAAGTAGATGACAGTTCGCCATAAGCCCTGACTGGACTAGTAGTGTTCGAGTAAAGAGCCTTCACAAGGTTTATGTACTTCTGAGGTACGCCTTTCAATGACAGACACTGCCACAGAGTCTCGCGGTCTACAGAATCAAATGCTGCTTTTAAGTCAAGAAAGACCACCATCGTCGGACGCCGATAGGTATGCCTGTGTTCTAGAACCTGACGAATGGTGAATATGTGGTCGATGCAGCCACGACCAGGTCTAAAGCCAGCTTGGTTCTCTCGAGTTTGTAGTTCACGAGTCTTAGTTAGGCGTTTGATAATTATCGAGGCCAGTATTTTAGATACTATGTTTGTTAAACTAATCCCTCTGTGGTTGTCACAGGATGATTTTGACCCTTTCTTATATATTGGGACGATAAGTGATTGCGACCAGTCAGATGGGATAAAGTCTAATTCCCAGATCTTAGCTAAAATATTAGTCAACCTAATCGCTAAAATTGGACCACCATCCTTAAAGACCTCTGGAGCCAATCC